ATATATTTATATATAGAAATGCAGCTTACGGAGGGTGTAGAAGGATCTAGAACTGGTTGATGCTAGCACCCTGGCCATATTCTATACGTTGCAAGCAATGCTTGAGTATAGAACAGATATGGACTGCAGCTGGTGAGGGATTGCGCACCTAAGGTTACATATATGTACGCATGTGTATGTATGTATATGTTTGATCTAAATACCTGCGCCTACGTTTCACGGGCGCCAAGCCTCACTTGTACTCGCATTTGAAGCTCGAGTTAATTTTCGGAAAATTTATTGGCTTTTGTCTCTCTCTGTTTAAAGATTGGCTCAGCTGATTGTGATTGTGTTCCTAGTTCTGGTGATAAGGACATTTGACACATTTTACCAATTCTATTTTTAATGTAGATGACAGGCGGCGCGATCGAGGGCGAGAGCGGTGGAATGTCAGAGACGACGACAGGCCGCCGGAACGACCGTCGGAAAGGAATGAGTCATTGGAAGACAAATATAGAGCACTGTATATAAATAGAACACGAGAGGCGACTGCCAATGGGAACGCACGGAACGGTACTGCGACAGCGGACTTAGATAGTGATAGGGGTGCACTTTTAGGCAACGAGCTCACAAAGACCCACGAAGGGCCTATTAATGGGCATAGCGAACCCGTAGGGCGAAGCAGTAGTAGGGACGACAGGAACGGTAGCATCAGCCAGCAAAGTGGGCTGCCGCAGACAGACGATGGTACTGCCAGAGATATAGACACACACACCAACACAGATACACACACCCCTCGCACGTCCCCATCCCCACAACCACAATCGCAATCGCACACTCCGCCAACACGTGCGGGTACCAATGGGTCTGGTAGCAGCACAGGGGCGTCTCGGCGACAACGGTACGGGCACTCGAGCGAGGGTGTACGCAGAGAACGGTGTGCGCTGGGTGAGAGGTGTCCGTGTGTGTTCACGCCTGTGTGCATGGTTATGGAGGGCAATGAACTCAAGAGCTCGAGTCTGATTGGCGGCGTGTGCAAGACTAATATGAACCATGGCGGTACGAAGGATGTGGTTATTGGATTGGATGTGGCCGTGCAGGTGAGTGGCAGATTT